CCACAACCTCCTGTATACCAGGCGAGGTAGTTAACATCTCCTGGCCACCGTGATGATGATGATTAGAGAGACAAGCAAACTCCAAATATACAGCAGCAGGCGTCAGGGTCAGGGTTGGGATCGAACCCACGACCTCCTGCATACCAGGCGAGGTAGTTAACATCTCCTAGCCACCATGATGATGATGAGAGAGAGACACGCAAACTCCAAATATACAGCAGCAGGCGTCAGGGTCGGGATTGAACCCGCAACTTCCTGCATACCCGGCCAGGGAGATAACATCTCCCGGCCACCGCGACGGCCTCGTCTTAAATCGCTGCCGGGATCGTTCGTCGCGTGCGCAGGTTCGCTGCGTGGGGGAAGGCGGCCAGAACCGGGTTCTCACCTTTCTGCCACTGCGCCTGGACCTTGCGGCGGTACGTGTGGTAGCAGCGGTCTAGGGCGTTGAGGTAGCACTGGATGGACAGCTTGCCGTCCACCACCGGGTACTCGGACAGCATGTCCGGCTTGTAGAAGTCGTACGCGTGCTGCATGTGCGTTGCGCGCAAGCCTGGCGGCGCCGTCACGAGGACGACGGAGAGGGGGACGCGGGAGTGAAGAGACGCAACAACACTGTTGGCGGCAAGTGGCGTCGTCGCGAGCCGTGCGCGCGCTGTGCGTGCTGTACATGCGACGTGCCCAGGCCTGACAGTGTTACCCACACTTGACCCCACCCGCAACACACGACGAGCCGTTTGTACCACTGGGTGGACAGGGGGTGCTGGGGAGGAGATTTAGATACTGATTAGAGGTAATTAAATTAAGCGTCTATTTGAGTGCCTTTGTGGGGAGCGGTAGTGTTGCGGTTAGCGCGCTGCATAAGCTGAATTCCGGCTCATGATGATTATCTGAATCGGTCCTGGGCCTCCTCTAGATCGTCTCCGTCTCAAATGAGTATCTGGTGTGGCATGTAAACATCGCCACTGGGGAGACAGAGGTGGCCGGGCATGGTGTTGGTCACCCACCCCCTCGTGTGCAGTACCGGCCTTAATTGGTGCTCGCTATCAGCACTTGCACCAAACGTCTGTTGAGGCTACATCGAAGATTTTGTCTTTGTTGTGCTCGCGCAAAAATCTCGCAACGTCGATTGATGGGTGCGATTGTGAGGAATACAAACCCAGACACAGAGACCCACAGACTCGCACAGAGACCCATAATCACACAGAATCACAGAAACCCACAGTCACATAGACTCACACAGAGACCGATATTCACAGAGTGGCCTTTTGCTGACCGTGACGCTCGTTGGGGTCACCGTGACATTCGTTACGACGCGAGTGGAGGCGCGGCGCTCCTCACCTCTCTCGATGACCAGCGGGGCGTTGGGGCCCACCAGCATGGCGACAGCGCCGGCGCCGCCGGTGGGGCGTGCGCTGCCCGTCGCGTACACCGCGATGTCTCCGGCCACCACCAGGGCAAAGCGACCTGCGGTGCACGGGCGTCGGGTCAACGCAAGACTCGCGATCTGGATTCAAGACAATTGGTCCATCTGTTGGGCGAGGGTGTGCATCTATCCGTGCATAGTGCCCACCATCACTCGACAACACTGCACACCACTCAACACCACTGAACACCAACCACTCAACACCAACCACTCAACCTCTACGCTCCCACCGCTCAAAGTCTCACACCACCCAACACCGCATACCACCGCACACACGACTGCCCGGCGGTGATAATTTTCTGGCACGCACACAACCACCTCTTCAATCACCCCGACCAACATCGCGACGCACGCGACAGCAACCGGACCCACCCGGACCCTGCTCCTCTCCATATCCCCATGTCACCCCTACCCCCCCCCCCCCCCCCAGTGAGCCTGGCTGGGGGTGAGCGGTGGGTTTGAAGGTTGAGGCTGCCAAACAGTCCCGGGTTTAGGCCGGGACAGTCCCCAGAAGTTTCAGAAAGCCTGTCCCGGTGTCACCCCGCCCCCCAACCCCCCGGGAGCTTTGACTGTCAATTGGGATTTTGTCTCCAGTTTAAAACGTTCTGGCCTCATGTTGAACCCATGTTGCTGGCAGGGGGAGGAGCTAGCGACTGAGTAGACGGGGCTACCTGAGCAGTGGGCGGGGCCGGCAGAGCAGAGGGCGGTGCTAGTGGTCGAGTGGGCGGTGCTAGTGGTCGAGTGGGCGGTGCTCGTGGATGCACGGGCGGGACTATGCCAAGCTCACCATGCGTCCCAGTTGAGCCTCCCAGGTTGAAATTTGGCCTCAGCCGTAGAGGGAGTGGCTCGCAATCAGAAGGTTGCAAGTTCAAATCCCGGTTAGGGTGTCGATAAGGGCCATCATCCCTCCGGTGTCAGTAAAGTGCAGAGCGAGTACCACTTTGTGGAGAATTCAACAGCGAGTGGTTGTACTTGATGAGACGCATATCATCCCCCCCCCCCGCCCCCGTCATAGCAAAGTGGACTTTCCTCCACTCGCTCAGTAAATGACCTCTGCTTCCAATGTTCCATTCGAGCAGGAAATCAGTGTCTTGTGTGTTTTTTTTTAAGGAAGTTAAAGTGGCGATTGGGGGGCTGCATACAATTGGTAAATGTGGGGACGGGTACGCGCCCCTTACCATCCCAGGCGCTGGATTCGACCCAGTTGGCGGCGTTGAAGAGGGCGGCTGTGCCGCCATAGCAAGCGTTGGTCGTGTCGATGCCCTCCACGTCGGTGTTGCCCGACTCCTCGAAGAGCTGCATGAGAACGGTCTTCACCGACTTGGACTTGTCGACCAGCGTCTCCGTGCCCACCTGCGCCACCGGCATGACCGCACGCCGTCGTCACTCGCAGCCTCCACCACCCCCGTCACTCACTGCCTCCACCACCCCCGTCACTCACTGCCTCCACCACCCCCGTCACTCACTGCCTCCACCACCCCCGTCACTCACTGCCTCCACCACCCCCGTCACTCACTGCCTCCACCACCCCCGTCACTCACTGCCTCCACCACCCCCGTCACTCACTGCCTCCACCACCCCCGTCACTCACTGCCTCCACCACCCCCGTCACTCACTGCCTCCACCACCCCCCGTCACTCACTGCCTCCACCACCCCCGTCACTCACTGCCTCCACCACCCCCGTCACTCACTGCCTCCACCACCCCCGTCACTCACTGCCTCCACCACCCCCGTCACTCACTGCCTCCACCACCCCCTTCACTCACTGCCTCCACCACCCCCGTCACTCACTGCCTCCACCACCCCCGTCACTCACTGCCTCCACCACCTCCGTCACTCACTGCCTCCACCACCCCCGTCACTCACTGCCTCCACCACCCCCGTCACTCACTGCCTCCACCACCCCGTCACTCACTGCCTCCACCACCCCCGTCACTCACTGCCTCCACCACCCCCGTCACTCACTGCCTCCACCACCCCCCGTCACTCACTGCCTCCACCACCCCCCGTCACTCACTGGCCTCCACCACCCCCGTCGCTCACTGCCTCCACCACCCCCGTCGCTCACTGCCTCCACCACCCCCGTCGCTCACTGCCTCCACCACCCCCGTCACTCACTGCCTCCACCACCCCCGTCACTCACTGCCCTCCACCACCCCCGTCACTCACTGCCTCCACCACCCGTCACTAACTACCTCTCCCATCTTATCTCACCGCTCCCCTGCATGCACCCTCCTACCTCTCCCCTCTTGCGTACACGCGCCTCTATGCGAGTCCATGGGGTCTCTATCGATGGGTCTCGAGATGAATCTGTACCGACTGTGGATCTCTGCAAGTCTGTGGCTGTCTCTGTAAGTCTACGGGTCTCCATGCGCATCTGTGGGTTTCTGCGAGCCTTACGGGTTGTGCGAGCTCGTGTGTATGTGTGCGCACGCTTGTGTGTATGTGCGTACGCCTCTGTACGTGCTTGTGTACGTGCTTGTGTATGTGTGCACGCGGGCGTGTGTACGTGCTTGTGCACGCTTATGTATGTGCTTGTGTACGTGCACACAAACACACGTCATTGTGTGTGTGCGCGCGCACGTCACCTCGAGCCGGCCGATGCTGCCGTAGCTGAGGCCCGCGCGCTCCATGAGCCGCTGCGTCACCGTGAGGCACAGCGAGTTGATGTCCTCGCGGTCGGTGCAGAAGCCCATTCGCGTCTGGCCCAGGCCCACCGTGTACTTGCCGGCCGGCACCCCGTCGTAGCTCTCCAGCTCCGCCTGGTCCACGCACTGCGCTGGCAGGTACACCTCCAGCGCCAGGATGCCGACGTCCCGGGGCCAGCTGCCCCCTCCCTGTGCTCCGGTCTCCATCGTGCTGGGCATGCTGACGCGGCGACAGCAAACGGGCGGGCGGCAACAGAGATTAGAGACGGGAAGGGGTGGGGGGGGGAGCAACGATTTATCCGAGTCACACGTGCGTGTCAGTCTTCTCGTTATCGCGCGGAGAGAAGAATGAGGGGACTTTCTACGGCGTGCGGGTCGTGCGGGCCTTATGACTATACTTCACCGTACTGGCCACCGTGTGTCGGTGAAAAAGTGGGAGGAGGAGGAGGCGCACCCGAGACCGATTCGGATATCGCTTAGCCACCGATGTTAGCCATGGGCGGGAATCGAATTGAGTGTGCTGGATTCACAGTGCGGTGAGCTAAATACTAAGTCACCCAAAATTATCTGAATCTCAAGACTCTTTGTCAAGAGGACCCTGCTACATTGGGTTGTGTGACCAAATGGCACGAATGGGAGTTTGGCTTCTCCGAGAATCCCCACCACATCGTAATACGACAGCGACACTCAAAGCTCCACATAGATGCGATTCAATCCCCCCGATTGGCTACGTGCGGTACGCGAAAGAAGCTCAACATTCGTACATACAATTCGGCGAGTGGAAATCTACCTGTGAACCACACCCATTGGCTGTGCTGTCATCTCCTGTTACCTCGCACAGGCCTCAAGAGCCAAACGCCTGCAGTCATTTTAACCCGTGACGCGCTGGCAGCCGGCGCCGCTGCACAGAGAGCGTGCGACTCAGGGGATGAGCCACAAGAGGAGCGGGGAAGGCAGCAGCCACGCGATGAGCCCGTACCAACAACAAGTGCAGTCCGACCTCTGCTTCTATAACCATACGGACGAAACAGGTGGAAGTCCGCATCTTTGCTGTGCCGCCATCCGTTTGCGAGCCACTAACCCTAACCTAGCTGCCTCCACGGTGCTGGACTGCAGCACACGTGCAGAGTAGCCGCCGCCACCGCTGACCAATAGCTGGCGAGCATCCGCAGCTACTCATCCGGTCGCTAACCGGGCTCAAACGTGCTTAGCTTTCCGAGATCTGACAAGATTGGACGGGGCACTCACGCGAGGGCTCGGATCGTGCATTATTTAGCGACTTGCCATTTCCCCTACCGTGCACTGCGATTGTGTATTGTGCATTGTTCGCCGCTGTGACTTGCTGACGCGTCCATACTGGACATCTGGTGATAAAAAAAGCTTCGTAACTCATCGGATTCCTCCTCGAGGCTAAATAGAAAATAAATATATTCTGATTCTGAGCAATGGTTTTGTGTGTGCGTTGCGGGGTTTTCTCCGGGTTCTCCGTTCTCCTCCCACACGAAGCCAAACGACTCGTCGCATTATTCACGGGATTCTGGCCCAAACATCCCAAAGCGGCAGGGCCCTCGTGCGCAAGGAGACTTGAGACTCGGTGAGGGTTTCAAATTTGACATTCGCTTGCGGAGCGCAAGTCACTCTCTAAACAATGCACCCACGGTCTATCCACTCCCGGATGAAGGTTTCCCCGCATGCTATCAGCATCATCCACGGCAAGGACATCTGTGAATAAAAAATAGCTTTATTGCTCATCGAATACCTCCAATAATAACGCCAGCAATGAGCTCAGACCCCCAATGCCTGACCACAGGCACCCGAGGTGATCGCAGTCATAACCGCCAACTCCCCAGCGATATCCCAATCCCTGACACAGGTCACGGGGACCCCCCCCCCCCCAGATCCCAGGTCCACTTAACGACCCCCAGATCCCAGGTCCCCTCAACGACCCCCAGGTCCCCGGTCCCCTCAACGACCCCCAGGTCCCCGGTCCCCTCAACGACCCCCAGATCCCAGGTCACCTCAACGACCCCCAGGTCTCCGGTCCCCTCAACGACCCCCAGGTCCCCTCAATGAACTCCAGGTCCCAGGTCCCCTCAATGACCCCCAGGTCCCCTCAAGGACCCCAGATCCCAGGTCCCCTCAACGACCCCCAGGTGCCCGGTCCCCTCAACGACCCCCAGGTCCCCTCAATGAACCCCAGGTCCCCGGTCCCCTCAACGACCCCAGGTCCGAGGTCCCCTCAACGATCCCCAGGTCCCCTCAACGATCCCCAGGTCCCCTCAACGACCCCCAGGTCCCAGGTCCCCTCAACGATCCCCAGGTCCCCTCAACGACCCCCAGGTCCCAGGTCCCCTCAACGACCCCCAGGTCCCCTCAACGACCCCCAGGTCCCAGATCCCCTCAACGACCCCCAGGTCCCAGGTCCCCTCAACGATCCCCAGGTCCCCTCAACGACCCCCAGGTCCCAGGTCCCCTCAACGACCCCCAGGTCCCAGATCCCCTCACCGACCCCCAGGTCCCAGGTCCCCACAACGATCCCCAGGTCCCAGGTCCCCACAACGACCCCCAGGTCCCAGGTCCCCTCAACGACCCCCAGGTCCCCTCAATGAACCCCAGGTCCCAGGTCCCCTCAACGACCCCCAGGTCACAGGTCCCCTCAACGACCCCCAGGTCTCAGGTCCCCTCAACGATCCCCAGGTCCCCTCAACGATCCCCAGGTCCCAGGTCCCCTCAATGAACCCCAGGTCCCCTCAACGACCCCCAGGTCCCCTCAACGACCCCCAGGTCCCAGGTCCCCTCAATGATCCCCAGGTCCCAGGTCCCCTCAATCACCCCCAGGTCCCCACAACGATTCCCAGGTCCCCTCACCGACCCCCAGATCCCAGGTCCCCTAAACAACCCCCGCCCTAGTTACGACCTCTCTCTCTCTCCCACACACCCCCATTGAAGCCCTAACCCCCGCGCGCATCTAACGGGACTGCGACCCCCCAAAGACCCTTGGGCAAAATCCCCCAAATGTTTGAAAACCCCCCCCCCCCAGCCTCCATGATTGTTATAAGGGACGCCTTATAAATGTAAACCAACATTTTTTTTTTAAATCACCTCATAAATAATTGCCGCCTGTGTAAATCCCTTCACGGGGGCCTGCGAACGCGGGCCGCACAGACAGAGGGAGACGACAGCGCTCGTAGATTTGTGTTTACCTGCTAGGGCGGCGAGGCGGCTTGAGGGAGGATGAGGAGGATGATGATGATGATGATCCAACAGCCTCTTCGTCTTCACACCGAGAGATACCCCCGTCGACTGCCTTTGGGCTTCTTGTAACTTCCACCACCGCCGCCGCAACCAACCCGCGTCTCTCTTGTCCACTGCACAGGACCGGAGACTTCACTAAGAGCACGGGGGAAGGGGGGGGACTGGAACCAGCGCCGTGAGGGGTGAGGGCGAAGTCGCTGAGGGAGGCTGACGGTGAGGCGACTACCACCCCCCAACTTCCCCTACGACCACCACGTGGTTTCTCCCGCGCGCTCACACGTGTGAGGGGGGGGAGGGGCTACCCCGTGACGTCACGGGCGCTTAGCCAATTGCGGCGGGGCTCGCCACGGCACCGTGCGATGGCGCGAGGCGGAGGCGACCAATGAGCGCGCGTCAGGAGACACCGCCGCGCGCTGCTGCCACGCCCCCCCACACCCCCCCCCACCTCACGTGAGGGGCGGGGCTTAAGAGGGGGGGGTGGAGGGGAGGGGCCGACGAGACGCATTGAGATTCGTGCATAGACTGCAAAACGGTGGCACCCACCCAGCCAGCCCCCTATGATGATGATGATAATTCATCATTGAGATGTCTAATGCGGTATTCCATCCGAGGGTGTTCCCAATGCGCATTGCATGAAAAGCAGGAAACAAAACAGCAAACAGAATCAGGGGCAAGCGGCCGAGCTAAAGAGGCTCACGTTAAAGCGACTTAAATATATCTCCTGTGAAGAAGGCCGTTGGTCCGAAACGTCGCCTGTAATTTTTTTTTACATTTTAAGGCCACGCCAGCACACACACAGAAGAGTGCTGATATTGACGAATGTGTCGAGTTTTGTGTTGTTTGTTAATTTATTCCAATTGCTCGCGATGGAATATTTTTTCCGCCTCCACGATTTTAGAATCAAAGTGCGTTTCAAAGTATTTTGACTACTACCAGACACGTCCACACGGTAAGCCCGCCCATTTCGTTGAGCTATCTGAAATAAAAGCTACTGTTTAGCTCAGCGCGCCTTACCTGTGCGCCTTTTGGCGTCATCTGGTCCAACACCATGCGAGACTAGGCTCTAAAGAAAGCTGTCTCGGGTGTGGACCAATCAACTTCAAGGACAGTGCATACATTATCAGAGTTATGTCTTTTGTTTGTATTATGACTGCAGGTATTGCGGTCTATGCAAACATGACTCCTTGTAAAAAGGTGTCAGTTTTGTTGCCAGATAGAAGGGTAAAAAAACTATTATCAAAATAAAAATAGTTAAATAGAAATAGTTATTCTCCATCAAGCGTTGTATCCCGTGTCAGATTATCCGTGTAGCAAAAGTAGCTGCTACATATGCAGCTACGGGCCCCGCACTTTCAAGCTATCAATTCCGGTTCAGTGAGTCTGCACTTGCTCTATTACTATAGTACTATACCGCCTTCAACTTTTATGAACGACTGGGTGTTCAAGGTTAGAGATTTTTCGTATTATCTGGCTGTATAGCAAATTTAAAAAATACAATTACTTTACTGTGAAAGTTAACAGTTTATGTGTTTTAATATTTCCGTGCTTTTTTTGTATTTAGTGCTCTTTATAACATATGCAATGACAGGGTGCCACCTATCAGCCTGAAGGGGTAAATGCGGTTATGGGCATGCAGCATATGTAGCTATATTCTTGGTTATTTCGGTAAAGTCACGTAGAAGGGAAATAATAACATAATAAAAATAAAGCAATACAATTCTCACGACGTTTCGGTTGCAACACAAGCAATCGTCAACAGGTGTGAAAACCACAGCAAGAAAATTTGAAAAAAGTGGCGTTTTTTTATTTTCTTAGCAGTGTTCATTAGGACGCTGTCTTTCCGACAGCTCTGTTCTTCACCTGAGGACGGCTGCTTGCGTTGTGGCCGAAACGTCGTGAGAATTTTATTATGTTTTATTTTCATTATTTTATTATTTTCCCTTCTACGTGACTTTACCGAAAGAACAAGAATACGAATCCCTGCAGTCACGAAAGCTTTAAATCGACATCACATGTAGCTACTTTTGCTCCTAGGATAATCCGGCACTGCGAGTACGTGCGCACATTTGAGACTTTTGAAAGCCCTCGTCATCGACAGACATCGGCCCACGTGGGTTGGGGCAACCTGTGGCTCCTTGCTAAGTGACGTCACTAATTATTGCGGGTCTTTAAATAGAGGCTGCCTAAAAGAAAAAAGTTAACACTCATACGGGACTATCGTTTTTTTAATGAAAAAAAAAGAAACGGATAATACTATATTGTAACGTGATAACAAATCTGACGTTAATATCTTCAAAAGTCTAAAAGTCTCCCACTTCTTCTTGGTTCTTTCGGTAAAGTCACGTAGAATGGAAAAAAATACTTTAGTTGTTTACGTGGTGGTTTTAGTTACGGCAGCTACATACTATTCTTGATATGCAAATTATTTTGTCAAGGCGCCCTTCCCCCCCTTCCAACCTAGCATGGTGCTGTTTCATTCAGACGCTGTCTCCCCGACAGACCTGGTCTTCACCTCGAGGACGGCTGCTTGCGTTGTGGCCGAAACGTCGTGAGAATTATTTTATTATGTTTTATTTTATTATTTCCATTCTACGTGACTTTACCGAAAGAACCAAGAAGATGAATCTCTGCAGTCACGAAAGCTTTAAATCGAGAAGTCTCCCACGTGTTCGCCATAATTGTCAACGCGTGCCTGTAATCTTCTCCCGGTGGTCTCCAGAGCCAGGAGGAGGCAAACTTCTTGTGATGTTGTTGCAAATTCTCAGAAGTGTTAACACTTTTTTTTTTAATCACCCTGTATTGAGTTTTTTTTTTTAGAAAAATACCGAATTCTAAAGAAATGGCTGTTCCAATTACGTTGGTTTTCGACACATGGCCCATGGTCAATCCACTGCTGGATGAAGTAATTCAAGATCACCCCACCCCCCGGCCGCCTGGTTAAACAAAACAACCTGACAGTTGAGACCTCTCACAATCCTGCACCGCAACGTAGCTACGGACATCTGTGAAAGAGCTTCATAGATCATCGGATTCCTCCAGTGTAATAATCCACCCAGCACCTTGCCCACGAAGCGATCTCCACGCTTCCATCTCCTCCCCTGTGGAAGTGCTGTCAGACGCGTTCCATCCCTTGGGCCTGCCGCTCCTGTATTAGTCTCGACCATGTGCAATCAGTGCCCATAACCGGGGAATCAGTTTTTTTCAGTTTTTCAGTTTCATTTATTTGGTATAGCCCTGTGAGCCATTCGGCTCTTGAATCGGGTGCAACCGCAACAAACAAAAGACAAAAACATGAACAAGGAAACATATTAAAGTGACTATGTGCAAACAGAAATTCCAGGAAAAAACAGCAAAAATATTCAGAAAAAGCACCGTACCCAACGCTGTGTGCAAAAATCCCAGTGGGATGCAAGTCAGGTCAGCACTGTAGTGCGTAACCACTGCACCACCGTTCCCCGGCCCGCACAATGAACCGATATATATACACACACACACCACCCACCGCTCTCGCTTAAACGCCGAGATCATTCAGCAGTGGGTAGACCATGGGCGAGGATTGGGATCGCAATTGGGTGGGTACTTGTAAGACAAATATGTCTTGATATCAGGGGCGATCTGCGGTGCAAAGGTTGAGAGCACAAAGGTCAGTGCTGGCGAAAACGAACTCGCAAAACAAACAGGAACATCGAGATGGGACTTCTAAAGAATGCCTCGTGCCCTGTCCCCCCCCCCCCCATATGCGGGGAACTCCCCCCCCCCCCTCCAGTCAACCGTGCTGCCGGCTGCCTGCTCACGTTAATCTCACCCCACTCCCCCACCACGCACTCTCCTGCCTCTCCCCTCTCATCTCACTCCACTCCCCTCCACGCACTCTCCTACCTCTCATCTCACTCTACTCCCCCACCACGCACTCTCCTACCTCTCCCCTCTCATCTCACTCGACTCCCCTCCACGCACCCTCCTACCTCTCCTTTCACTCCACTCGCCCACCACGCACTCTCCTGCCTCTCCCCTCTCAACTCACTCCACTCCCCTCACGCACTCTCCTGCCTCTCATTTCACTCCACTCGCCACCACGCACTCTCCTGCCTTCCCCTCTCAACTCACTCACTCCCCTCCACGCACTCTCCTACCTCTCATTTCACTCCACTCGCCACCCACGCACTCTCCTGCCTCTCCCCTCTCAACTCACTCCACTCCCCTCCACGCACTCTCCTGCCTCTCCCCTCTCATCTCACTCCACTCCCCACCACGCACTCTCCCTACCTCTCATTTCACTCCACTCGCCACCACGCACTCTCCTGCCTCTCCCCTATCAACTCACTCCACTCCCCCTCCACGCACTCTCCTGCCTCTCATTT